GAACTCTTGTATATATAAATAAAAATAATAATAAATAATGATACTTATAACATCCATAAATAATGATAACTTTGTACATATACTCCAATGACGTATTCAGAGCAGCGAGAAGGAGCGCAGACGCGGAGGAGCAGCCACAAACACCTCCAAGCTGCACATTTCCACAGCAAAACAAATTCAAAATAATAATGTGAGTCTGCAGCGCTGCCAATATTGCGCGGGCTGTCGTCTGCTGAAATCAAAATTTAAATACTTAGGAGCTATCCGTTTTCTTTCTAGTAAAGCTTAAATTATCGCTAAACACCAACACTTTTTTGGGCGCTATAATCACAAATGAGTAATTTTATAGTTAGAAAGGAGGTGCGAGAGAGAGAGAGAAGGCAGAAGAGAGAGGAGGTAATAGAGAGAACGCTCTATCTCCCATGAGAGAGAGAGAGAAGGCAGAAGAGAGAGGAGGTAATAGAGAGAACGCTCTATCTCCCATGAGAGAGAGAGAGGAGGTAATAGAGAGAACGCTCTATCTCCCATGAGAGAGAGAGAGAAGGCAGAAGAGAGAGGAGGTAATAGAGAGAACGCTCTATCTCCCATGAGAGAGAGAGAGAAGGCAGAAGAGAGAGGAGGTAATAGAGAGAACGCTCTATCTCCCATGAGAGAGAGAGAGAAAAACACAGTACCCCCTCCCTACTATTTTCTACCAATGCTAGGCTGGTAGAGTCGATGGTGGTACCATACTCAAGGGGTCGGCGGATTATCTGGGGAGGGAGAGGGGAGGATTCAGGGGATTACTGCCTCGTTCTTCACTCTTCATTATTCCATGTTCACTGTTCACTGTTCATTATTCCATGTACACTGTTCATTAGTTCTCGTCCACTATTTACTGGTCAAGTTTTCAATTTTTATTTTGAATTGTGGGGGGGGGGTTAATTTTAATTTCAGTGTTCCTTTATCTTCATGTTCACCTGTTCAGGATTGAGTGTTCATTAGTCACTGTTTACAGCTGACGTGTTCACTGTTCTCGGAACATATATGTTCCTAGCTGTTCAGTGTTTCCTCTTTAGTGTTCTCTCTTTCATGTTCATCTGCAGACAAGTTCAGCTGAACAGCTTGTTCTCATTGCACACTTTGTACAGCTTACCTGAGCTCTTATCAAAGACTTAAGTGGCGTTCTTCAGGGGGGGGGCAATAAGTGCTTCTTGAACAACTGAATATTGTTCATCAACGGTAATAAATGATTTTTGTTCATTTTTTTTAGAAGCGAAGGTGAATAGAAAGAATATTATTGCAAGTCTGTTCATATTGTTCATTGTGTGGAGGTCCCTTTATGGGAGAGTGTGGTGGTGTATGAAACACACACACACTCTCTCTCTCTCTCTCTCTCTCTCTCTCTCTCTCTCTCTCTCTCTCTCTCTCTCTCTCTCTCTCTCTCTCTCTCTCTCTCTCTCTCTCTCTCTCTCTCTCTCTCCTTTATTCTCGTTCTCTTGGTGCTTGTTCTTCGCCCTAACTCAGGAAGTCAATCCATTTTTCACACGTATTCGCTTCGTTTCTCTTATTGTTTTGATGTTCTTTGTTTCTCTTGTTGTTTTGATGCTCTTTGTTTCTCTTATTGTTTTGATGCTCTTTGTTTCTCTTATTGTTTTGATGCTCTTTGTTTCTCTTATTGTTTTGATGCTCTTTGTTTCTCTTATTGTTTTGATGCTCTTTGTTTCCCTTATTGTTTTGATGCTCTTTGTTTCTCTTATTGTTTTGACGCTCTTTGTTTCCCTTATTGTTTTGATGTTTTCTACGTTTCCCCATATTATAAAGTTATACTCTGTTACCTTTCATTTGTCGACAGTTTTCATAAAGTCTTATATGATAAGAAACTTGTTACTTATGACTTTCTTACCGGCACATGTTGGAGGAGAAAACGGAGGCGGGGGGGGGGGGGGGGGGGAGGACTGTAGTAATTAAGCTAAACTCGTCTGATGGGTTCATAAGTGGTAATCAGTATTACGATGGAGGTATGTAGTATCTTTAAGGGAGTGAACAATAGTGCACATTTCGGTCTGAGGGGTAGAGTGCACACGGTGAGTCACAGTAAGTGTTTGTCACTGCTACATGGGTGACATGTTGATGTAGGGAAGCACTGGTGTAGCATGACAGTGTTGAGGGCAGAGGCCACTGAGGTGTAGTGAGGTGACACACACCACCTGCCCTGTGTCACCCATGTACAGTACTGAGTGCTGCTCAGCGCTCACTACCCCTACTAGTAACACATGACGTGGGGATGGGGCTGAGTGAACAGCACTCTGGACTCGTAATCCTAGGGTCCGGGTTCAATCCCCGGTGATGGCAGAAACAAATGGGCAGAGTTTCTTTCACCCTGATGTCCCTGTTACCTAGCAGTACATAGGTACCTGGGAGTTAGACAGCTGCTACGAGCTGCTTCCTGGGTGTGTGTGGGGAAAAAAGTTAGTAGTTAGTAACAGTTGACTGATTTACAGTTAAGAGGCGGGCCGAAAGAGCAGAGCTGAACCCTCGCAAGCACAACTAGGTGAATACATTAACCAAACCCCTCAGAAGCACATCAGTTAGTAACACACAAGTAACACACAAGCAAGACACTAGTAACACATGTGATGTAAGCGGCAGTATCCTCCCCCCCCCATCAACACTTGCTATGTGTCCGAGTCATAATATTACCAAGATATGTGTTTTATTATGAGACATTAATCACTGTGTCACACCTCAGCGTCATAACGCCCAGGACACTATTTCTTGGTTATTGGTCGCTGTCTTGACCTGTGTCTCGGTACTCACCTAGTTGTGCTGGCGGGGGTGGAGATCTGGCTCTTTGGTCCCGCCACTCAACTGTCAATCAACTGGTACCAACTACTAACTTTTTTTCCCCATACACACGCCCAGGAAGCAGCCCGTAGCAGTTGTCTAACTCCCAGGTACCTATTTACTGATAGGCAACAGGTGCATCAGGGTCAAAGAAACTGTTCATTGTTTCTCGCCGGCACCGGGAATCGAATCCCGGAGCATAGGTTTACGTGACCAGCGTGCTGTCCACTCAGCCACCTGCTAAGTGGACAGGTGGAAGGAGTGTGTGTGTGTGTGTGTGTGTGTGTGTGTGTGTGTGTGTGTGTGTGTGTGTGTGTGTGTGTGTGTGTGTGTGTGTGTGTGGTGTGTGTGTGTGTGTGTGTGTGTGTGTGTGTGTGTGTGTGTGTGTGTGTGTGTGTGTGTGTGTGCGTGTGTGCGCGCGTGTGTGTGTGTGTGGTCAATAAAGAACTCCCAAGGCGACACCACAGACATAATTGATATGATTCAGTACACTGGAGCTCAGCAGATCAGATCTAAAGGAGACAAAACTGCCAATAATATTTACAACCCGGCCCACGTGCCCAGACATCTCCACACACACACACACAAACCCACCCACTTTCCCTCATATTCCACAACGTATCACCCGTTACAACACCTCCATACACCATTAATTCATCTCGAAACAAGTAATTCTGCTGTTAACTAGAGAATGTGGCAAGTCAAAACTGCACCCAAAATCGCATACCAAAGTTTGGAACCATTTCATTGAGAAATGAGACTGCAGCGAACGCACGTTTTCAGAACTTATCGCTCGGCGCCCAGGGATTTTTGGCGGGAGGTCCCGTCGGCCACCATCAGCTGACCCCCAGCCCTCGCATGAATAATGTAAACACTGCATCCTATCGCCCTTAATCCGCCCGCCCCGAGGGACTATAATTGCCCGTCCATGCATTATGTAGACGACCACCCATATTGCTCATATATCCGTGACGCGAGGCTTGTTACCCTTGCCAAATGAGGTGTGATCATGGGCTGGGGAATGGGTAGGAGTTGTAATGGGGGAGGGGGAGTGGGTAGGGGTTGCAATGGGGAGAGGGAGTGTGTTAGAGTCGTATGGGGTTGCATTGGGGAGATGGGGGGGGGAGGTTAGGGAAGTGGTGTGTTTATGGGGAGTTGTATGTGTGGGAGCGGTTGTTTTGGGGGCGGGGTTATATACTCACCTAATGGTTGAGCTCTGGCTCTTTGGTCCCGCCTCTCAACTGTCAATCAACTGGTGTACAGATTCTTGAGCCTACTGGGCTCTATCATATCTACAGTTCACTACCGTCCATCCTCTCACCAGAGGCAGGTTAAAGACCAAGTAATGAAAGTTGAACACTGTTGAGAAAACTTTAGAAATCCAGCCCCAAACATCATCTTGCTTGGGGACTTCAACCTACGGCACCTAAAATGGATGATCGTAGCAAATAGTTATATCCGAGAGAGTATCGGGAAGTAGCTAGATGATTTGATCAGGAACATAATCATAACTAACACCTGTTACTCAGATCACAATTTAATTGAAATTCAGACGAGCCTGAGCACTAGGCCTACATAACCTGAGCACTAGGCCTACATAACCTGAGGACTAGGCCTACATAACCTGAGGACTAGGCCTACATAACCTGGGCACTAGGCCTACATAACCTGAGCACTAGGCCTACATAACCTGAGCACTAAGCCTACATAACCTGAGCACTAGGCCTACATAACCTGAGCACTAGGCCTACATAACCTGAGCACTAGGCCTACATAACCTGAGGACTAGGCCTACATAACCTGGGCACTAGGCCTACATAACCTGAGCACTAGGCCTACATAACCTGAGCACTAGGCCTACATAACCAGTCCCCAATTCTAGAGGAGAATTTAGCAGATTTTAAGCACCCAGATGTCACTTGGGTACTCATTTGGGTACTCCGTTTTCACCTGTGTCTCCTTGTTTGGGTATTCCACCCGTGGTAAACAGTATATCCTTGTCTTCCCTATCAATTTCCTGAAAATTTAATTTCTTCCTCTAGGTATTTTATATATCGGGACTGTGTCTCCTCAACTTCTCCTCTCTCTTACGATATTTTTACGTTCTTCTCCTTCAGTCTTTCCTGGTAGCTCAGTCCACTTAATTCTGGGACTAATCGTCTAGCAGACTTCTCTTATTTATAAATTGTGGCTGGTTCTTGTGAGTGGTTCTTGTGACTGGTTCTTGTGAGTGGTTCTTGTGAGTGGTTCTTGTGACTGGTTCTTGTGAGTGGTTCTTGTGACTGTTTCTTGTGAGTGGTTCTTGTGACTGGTTCTTGTGAGTGGTTCTTGTGACTGGTTCTTGTGAGTGGTTCTTGTGACTGATTCTTGTGAGTGGTTCTTGTGACTGGTTCTTGTGACTGGTTCTTGTGAGTGGTTCTTGTGACTGGTTCTTGTGAGTGGTTCTTGTGACTGATTCTTGTGAGTGGTTCTTGTGACTGGTTCTTGTGACTGGTTCTTGTGAGTGGTTCTTGTGACTGGTTCTTGTGACTGGTTCTTGTGAGTGGTTCTTGTGAGTGGTTCTTGTGACTGGTTCTTGTGACTGGTTCTTGTGAGTGGTTCTTGTGAGTGGTTCTTGTGAGTGGTTCTTGTGACTGGTTCTTGTGACTGGTTCTTGTGACTGGTTCTTGTGACTGGTTCTTGTGAGTGGTTCTTGTGACTGATTCTTGTGAGTGGTTCTTGTGACTGGTTCTTGTGAGTGGTTCTTGTGACTGGTTCTCGTGGCTGGTTCTTGTGACTGGTTCTTGTGAGTGGTTCACATTTCTCCTTAATACATAAACACACATCCGCAGGAAGCAGCCCGTTGCAGCTGTCTAACTCCCAGGTACCTATTTACTGCTTTACAGTAAATAAATACCTGACCCTGAAAGAAAGGGGTTCTTTCACCCCTTTCATCAGGGTGAAAGACAATCTATCCGTTTGTTTCTGCCTCGGCTTACCCCTTATTCTGAGTGACGGTCACTCCCTGTTACTCTGAGTGACGGTCACTCCCTGTGTTACTCTGAGTGACGGTCACTCCCTGTTACTCTGAGTGACGGTCACTCCCTGTGTTACTCTGAGTGACGGTCACTCCCTGTGTTACTCTGAGTGACGGTCACTCCTTGTCACTCTGAGTGACGGTCACTCCCTGTGTTACTCTGAGTGATGGTCACTCCCTGTGTTACTCTGAGTGATCATCACTCCCTGTGTTACTCTGAGTGACGGTCACTCCCTGTGTTACTCTGAGTGACCGTCACTCCCTGTGTTACTCTGAGTGACCGTCACTACCTGTGTTACTCTGAGTGACGGTCACTCCCTCTGTTACTCTGAGTGACCGTCACTCCCTGTGTTACTCTGAGTGACGGTCACTCCCTGTTACTCTGAGTGACGGTCACTCCCTGTTACTCTGAGTGACGGTCACTCCCTGTGTTACTCTGAGTGACGGTCACTCCCTCTGTTACTCTGAGTGACCGTCACTCCCTGTGTTACTCTGAGTGACGGTCACTCCCTGTTACTCTGAGTGACGGTCACTCCCTGTTACTCTGAGTGACCGTCACCATCGTGTGTTACTCTGAATGACGGTCACTCCCTGTGTTACTCTGAGTGACGGTCACTCCGTAAAGCAACTTAATCGTGAAAATGTTTGTAATAAATTTTAACAGCATCTCGCTTCACTATTTAATAATAATAATTAATAACAAGTCAAATAAATTAATGAAGGATTACGTAGAAATTTATTTGCAATTTGATATAATTGTTGCGATACTTGTATATATTATTGCCTGTAGTAGAGGGCCGAGAGCTGGAGCCCGACCTTGTATGCACAAGGAGATGAACATGAAGACACTCACTTATTATGATATCAAAGTTCCTCTAACACAGTGCTGAGATAATAATATGAGTGTCTGTGATAGCAGTCATGTGCGTGTGTGTGATAGCAGTCATGTGTGTGGGCGTGTGTGATAGCAGTCATGTGCGTGTGTGTGATAGCAGTCATGTGCGTGTGCGTGTGTGATAGCAGTCATGTGCGTGTGTGTGATAGCAGTCATGTGCGTGTGTATGATAGCAGTCATGTGCGTGTGTGATAGCAGTCATGTGCGTGTCTATGATAGCGTATCCCGAAATGTAATCCCCCCATGTGTACGGAGGTAGGAAACAAACACACACATGTACAAGTAATCCCCGTGTGTACAGAGGATTACTCCACCGTGTGTACGTTACTCCACAGTAACGAGTGGAGTACCTCAAGGATCGGTGCTGGGACCAATCCTCTTTCTAATTTTCGTAAATGATATGTTTATAGGAGTGGAATCCTACATGTTAATGTTCGCTGATGACGCAAAATTAATGAGAAGAGTTGTGACAGATGAGGATTGTAGGGTCCTCCAAGAGGACTTGAACAGGTTGCAGAGATGGTCAGAGAAATGGCTACTGGAGTTCAACACGAGTAAATGTAAAGTTATGGAAATGGGATCAGGTGATAGGCGACCAAAGGGACAGTACACAATGAAGGGGAACTGCCTACCTGCAACGATTCGAGAAAGAGACCTGGGAGTGGATGTGACACCTAATCTAACTCCTGAGGCATATAAATAGGATAACGACAGCGGCGTACTCTACACTGGCGAAAGTTAGAACATCATTCAGAAACCTAAGTGAGGAGGCTTTTAGGGCGCTTTACACTGCCTACGTGAGACCCGTCTTAGAGTATGCCGCGCCATACATCATGGAGCCCCCACCTGAAGAAACACATAAGGAAACTGGAGACGGTTCAGAAGTTTGTTACGAGGCTTGTCCCAGAGTTACGAGGGGTGGGATATGAAGAGCGCCTGAAGGAACTGAACCTTACGACACTAGAGAAAAGAAGGGAGAGAGGAGATATGATAGGGACATATAAAATACTCAGGGATATTGACAAAGTGGAAATAGATGAAATGTTCATACGGAATAGTAAGAGAACGAGGGGACATGGGTGGAAGCTGGAAACTCAGATGAGTCACAGAGATGTTAGGAAGTTTTCTTTTAGCGTGAGAGTAGTGGAAAAATGGTATGCACTTGGGGAACAGGTTGTGGGAGCAAATACTATTCATAATTTTAAAATTAGGTATGATAGGGAAATGGGACAGGAGTCATTGCTGTAAACAACCGATAGCTAGAAAGGCGGGATCCAAGAGTCAATGCTCGATCCTGCAAGCACAAATAGGTGAGTACACACACACGTGCAGGTACTCCCCCGTGTACACATATGAAGGACACACACACACACACACACACACACACACACACACACACACACACACACACACACACACACACACACACACACACACACACACACACATGTGCGGGTAATCAGGCGAAATAATACGGTGTCATTGTCTAGGTTTTTAATCATCAACATCCGATCACTAAGAAAGTTTTCCAAAATGCTTCGCTCCTGCTGGACATTTTTAGTCTCCCTTTGTCATTGATCTTCGCCTGATTTAAATCCCCTTGATGTTGCCTGTTCTTTACCTCTGATTATTTCCAGAGTCTACGTAAATGACGTCCATAAAACAGTGTTGATGCTTTATGTTGTAATTAATTGTCAGGTTGCACATGGTATTATTATTATTATTGTTGTTGTTGTCTAACCACTTGGGCTGGACGGTAGAGCGACGGTCTCCCTTCATGCGGGTCGGCGCTCAATCCCCGATCTTCAAAGTGCTATATAGTTGTAATGGCTTGGCACTCCCTCACCCTGCCAGTCCTCCCTCACCTTGCCAGCCCTCCCTCACTCTGCCAGTCCTCTCTCACTCTGCCAGTCCTCTCTCACCCTGCCAGCCCTTCCTTGCCGTGCTCTCTCTCTCACTCTCTCTCTCTCTCTCTCTCTCTCTCTCTCTCTCTCTCTCTCTCTCTCTCTCTCTCTCTCTCTCTCTCTCTCTCTCTCTCTCTCTCTCTCTCTCTCTCTCTCTATATCTATCTATCTATCTATCTATCTATCTATCTATCTATCTATCTATCTATCTATCTATCTATCTATCTATCTATCTATCTATCTATCTATCTATCTATCTTTTGTGCCCGCTCATTACAGCCACCATTTCCTCTCCCCATATTGGCCCCATACTCCCCTTACTGTTGGCCGGACGTGAGGGTGAAGAGGAAGACCAGAGAGTCACATCAGTCACATTTACACACCTGGCTTCACTAACATCTCCCACACCTGCTTTCAATCACACACCTTCCCTTATCATGCACTACCCCTGACTTCAATAACATTTCCTGTTATGTATACCTGGCCTCATCCACACCTGTCATCTACACCTGACTTCACACCTCCCCCTCCACACCTGACTAACTTCACGCCTCCCCCTCCACTACACCTGTTAGAAGAACGTAACTTCAATGCACTTAAATCCATCCTTGCAATAAAGATTTCTAAAGCTTAGGATTAACTCTGTCATTCTTCGTTCGCTTTGCAGAGAATTTCTGTTGATTGTGTTGTATGGTGATTGTCATGGGTATTGTAGGGGACGTGTGGCAGAGCGGTTATGGTTGTGGCTTAGAGATGTGAGAGTCACAGGTTCGATCCCAGTTAAAGGAGGCAATGTTGTTTCCCCAGATGGTGCAAGTTAGTGTGGAGTACAGTAATGTGTCCACCAGTTAGTGTGGAGTACAGTAATGTCTCCACCAGTTAGTGTGGAGTACAGTAATGTGTCCACCAGTTAGTGTGGAGTACAGTAATGTCTCCACCAGTTAGTGTGGAGTACAGTAATGTGTCCACCAGTTAGTGTGGAGTACAGTAATGTGTCCACCAGTTAGTGTGGAGTACAGTAATGTCTCCACCAGTTAGTGTGGAGTACAGTAATGTCTCCACCAGTTAGTGTGGAGTACAGTAATGTCTCCACCAGTTAGTGTGGAGTACAGTAATGTGTCCAGTTAGTGTGGAGTACAGTAATGTCACCACCAGTTAGTGTGGAGTACTAATGTTACGAAGTATGAAGCCAATAGTCGTATTATTTCCGTTGTGGTCATTAGTGAATTGTTGAATTGCTCCTGTAGACATTAATAAAAAAAATTCTTAATATAAATATTTACAATTACCAAAATTTAACTACATTTTCCACTCTTCAGGGTTACGGTCTATTTAGGTTCGTCATCTTCAGACTTGAGGTCTATTGAAGTTCGTCATCTTCAGACTTGAGGTCTATTGAAGTGCGTCATCTTCAGACTTGAGGTCTATTGAAGTTCGTCATCTTCAGACTTGAGGTCTATTGGAGTTCGTCATCTTCAGACTTGAGGTCTATTGAAGTTCGTCATCTTCAGACTTGAGGTCTATTGGAGTTCGTCATCTTCAGACTTGAGGTCTATTGAAGTGCGTCATCTTCAGACTTGAGGTCTAATAAAGTCTTCCTGTGTCCACTAGAGTTTTCAGTTCCAATATATATAACATTCCCCAACCGTTCTCTGTTAGATAATTTATACATAAATTGATATTATTCTCACTCAGCCTTCTTTCATCTTTCATCTTCTTTCACTCGTCTCGTTAGTGCCAACTTTCACTCTGAGTACTTACCGTGGGCGTCCCAGGGCTCGTCCTTCACTCTGGCACTCGCGTCGAAGGTGCCACACCTGTAGGGATATGACAGGTGATGAGACACGGGGGGGGAGGGTGTAAGTTGATGTGTAATTACCTAAGTGTAGTTACAGGATGAGAGCTACGCTCGTGGTGTCCCGTCTTCCCAGCACTCTTTGTTGTATAACGCTTTGAAACTACTGAGGGAAGTCTTGGTCATTTGGGGGTATGTTTATTGCAACTGGGTTG